CCCCAAAACCCCAAAACCCCAAAACCCCGCACTAGTAAATTAATCAGTCAAATTTTATGTAACAAAATTACTAAAAATAAATAAATCTCAATAATAACAAAAGTTTTTATTAAATCATAATTTTTAATCTACTATTTCCATGCATAACCTTTCTTTTGTTCATACATTTTGAATATTTTAGCTTGCTACTTTAAAGCAATAGCTATTTAAATCATTATGAATTTTTATTCGGTATTTGGATTCTTTTAATAACATCCAAGTCTTTCTCTAATTCGTCTATAAATAACTATTCATCCTCTCCATCCTTTAGAATGTCTAGATTCGTAAATCCATCATTGTGTATTGGTGTATAATTGCTTGATTAGTTTATAATAGATAGATTCGCTGGAGTTAGCATATTAATACCTTCATTTTTTAGATCAATTACTAAATCATTAGATTATCTCTATTAAATTATCTTTAAAGTTCCTCTTAGCCTATTATTCGTATTCTTTACCTCTAGTATATTCTTTTAAGTCTAATTTCTTGAAGATGCTGATTACTATAGTATTTTAGATTATAGCTTGGTGGTTTTTCTCAATTTTGATAATTTTTTAAAGAGATTTTTCTTTTAAACTACTTAAAATAATTCTTCTTTGATAAGCCTATTTTTGTTAAAATCTAGATCTTCATGGATTCTGATATCATTATAGTTTCCACCATCATCTAAGTTTGATTAATCTTCTTTTTCTTTGAATGTTTAATCTCCAAAAGATTTTATTTGGTTCACAGACTAGATCTAGTCTATTACATCCTTTCTGTCATCCTACCAATAATATTAATCCTAAAAAAATGTAGGATAGTAACCTGGAATTTTTATTCTCATTTTTTTATTTTATTTCTCAAAGCTGAAGCCTCTTAGCCTTTTTACAATATCCTAATCATCTTTGAAATTTTGCTATTTATTGAACGACTCATTAAAGAAATATTTTTTATAGTAGTTGTCATCTGTTTTGTAATAAAACTGATATTCATCCATTGAGTCTTTTATAATCTGCTGCTTTCTTTGATTTTATTAATTATTAAATTCAAAGTAGTTATTTTCATCTTCGAATTCCCTTATATCTGGTATATTCTCAAATCTCTAGCTTTTTTCCCCCTAATCATTATCTTTAAAGCAATCCTCTTCATAAAAATCCTCAATACTTCTACAAATATCCATTGTAGGGATTGATTACCTTAGTTCTCTAGTATTGAGTTTTCTTATTTCTCGATATGCATTCATTTATTTATCATCATTTTCATCTTCTATTGTATTAACAATATTCTTTTTTCCGAGCATTTCTGCAATTTTTTCTTGGCTTAAGTAAAGTTAAAGTTTTTCGATCACATTTTTATTTAAAATAATCTAACCTGACGAATACATTTACTTAATATTAGCTAGGTAACTCATTAAATTTTCTCGTAGAATCCCATTTTCTTCATTAATAGCCATTTATTTTTTAACCTTTTCGAATCTTTAATTATTGTTGCATAAAAATAATATCAAATAGAGCTTTCCAAATTTGAGAATAATCAAAGAATAAAGCTCTTTAATAAGTTAAAATGACCAATAAGCAAAGAATATTATGTTGCTAAACACAATGATAAAGAGTAATAGCAATCTGGTTGATTCTGATAGATATACTATAAAATTATAAGGTCTAACTATTTAAATCTTATGAACTTACTTCCTAATGTGCTAGATGAAGATGATATGCCATTCTCCTAAGCAGTAAAGGTGGTGATGTCTAGGATAAAGAATAATCCACAAAACACTGTCATTGTAGAGGTTATTAATGATATAATCTCTAAATTGTTTAATATCACAGTTTAGAATGGCGTCTTTTTCAAAGTTATCATCAGAAAACATATTAGAATAATGAATATGATTAAAGCCTAGTAAATATTAGATACTTCTGAAATTCTAATCATACCTAGGTAATGATACCATTGAGTACTACAAAAACAGATATAAATATCAAGACAATCTTCCTGTACATAATCACAATCTCCCAATTATAAAATTGTTTCTTATATCCTCTAAATAAAAAACCGTATTGAGCTCTTGTCTCTAGAGTATCTAAATTTTTACTTTTTCTAAACATCAAAACAAAAGCAAAAAAGGGTATTCCGATTCCCTAAACTATAAGTCCTGGCAATGCAATCAATAGCGAGAAATATTAATGTTATTTTGTGCTACAATTAATTTACAAATCTTCTTTATTTCTACTTTCACCATCAACTTTGATGCAACTATAAGTAAGGTAAATGAGTTTCATTTCTAAAAAAATTAGTTATCTTACTCGAAAGCTTTAAAGAAATATGATACTAAAGTTGGATGAATTAAGAATAGTAGGATAACTAATGATGAGACTGCCTTTGTCATTAATATATTTTTTGATTGTTTCTTGCATGAAACAATCATCCAAAAAGCATAAGATAATATTGCAAGTAAAAAGGGCAATACTGCAAACATCAAAAGCTTCAAATATAGTAAGCTGGAAGTAATACCGCTTTCTAAACTTTGCTATATTTATTCTTCACCAAATTTTTGTGATTGGCCCAATCCTTTATTTATAAAACAATCTATTGATAGGACTTAGGTTTAGGCTTAAGCAACCGTTTAACTCGAACTAAAAAATTCAACTACCTTTGCTGGCCAGTTAAAATTGAATGAGGCAGTCATCGTTATAAGTTGAAGATGATTCATTAAAATTTTCTGGAAGATTGACATAACATTTCTTTTAACTAATGCTCCATCTAAAGTAGATTTAATCATTAAAACTACAATTATAACAGCACATATACCTACTCCTATAAGTCTTATTATATTGGTTGAAGATTGATGACATTTTGTGCATTTAAATGAGGCTGTTCTTGAATAATCTTATATGCAACTTGAACATAGAATACCTTAATATCCAAGATCACAAGATCCTGTCGATATATAATAAGGTGGTATGATTCCTCTAAAATTATCCATAATTTATAAAATGAAACTTACAGACAAGCTTGAGGATTTAGACATTCGATAAATGTACTAGTTTTATTATTCATTCTCCAGTAACCAGGCTTGGGACCTATAAAAGATTCTCCATAACACAATGCTATACTTGTTGGACATACCAGACAGGATCCAGGTGAAGTCATATTAACCAAAGAAAAAGTGCTGCCCTCCGGACATAATTCGCAGCTTCCTTTATCTGAAAATTTTTCTCCTATTTAGCATTCTCTTAATTCAACATTCAAGTTAAAGCTTTATTTTTCTTCATTATTACTCTATTAGAGATACTATCTGTTTGCAGGCTTGCTATTATCTATACCATCAGTATAAAATACTATTTAATATGAAAGTCCAGGCTATCCTGTGAATTAAAGTCCAGTGACAGTAAAAACTTCAGTTTCTGAGTAAAAAATGATTTATCCTTCAATAATAGGTTGATACTTAGTCGATATTAAGTTATTTTTGGAAATAGCACAAACGCTTACAGTTATTTTAGAGTTACTATTAGTTGTAACTATCTAACCATATTTATCTATCAAAGCCAAATACATTGTGCTTAACTAATCCCCACTTCTAAACCCTGACGCGTTTGAAGAATTTTAAGAGCTAGTTACAACTTCAGATACAAGATTTAATATAGAAGTTTCTTTTGTTTGGAGGAATCTTTGTTCCGTTATTTTTCCTAATTTTTAAATCCAATTCCGAAAACGAATATTATTTCCATATATACCAGCAATGTTATTGTAAAAATAAGTCTTTTTCATATCAAAATTAGGTTCATTTTCATTCCAATAAATAGCTCCTCCACTAATACTCGCTTTGTTGTTTGTAAATCTGTTAAAACCAGAAAGTATAACTTGACAATCGTAAGTTTTTATGTTTGGCTTGTACAATCATATCTAAAAGCACCTCCAGACAACTTACTACTGCAGTTATTAAAAGATGAATCAATGATTGTCAATTTTTTAATATTAAGAATACTTATCGCTCCACCGTCATACATAGATGACCAAGTATTTTCAAATTAAGTATTTTATATCTATGAGAAATTTTAACTTGAAAGGTTGCTTACGATATAGTTTTGTCCATCTATTTTTTCCAAATCATTTTAGGAAAGGAATATGCCTCCTCCCTATTAAGCGTTTGAGTTTTTAATTTAGGAATTATTCAAATGAAATTCCCCGCAAGATTAGCAAGAAATAGCACCTCCTGTTTCTATTTATTGCACTTTCCCTTTTGAATCTATTATATAAAATTTTGAGATAAATCAATTATTACGAGTGATCTTTAATTTATCTGCATAGAAGTTTATACTGTAAAGATCAAGCGAATTTGAGGGATTAGAGTTCAAAACAATCATTCCATCAATTTTCAACTAAATAAAATGAAATGCATTTCAAATTTTTACATTAAAATTAGATTGCACTGCATATATATCATCCCTGCTCTTCAAGGCAAAATTCTCAATAAACTAGCATTTCTTAGAAATATTTAAGTTGTCAAATTATTAAGCAACAATTGATGCACCTTAAAAGGCTTTATTATTCTAAAAAGTGCAATCTTCAATAGATACATCAGATTCTATAGATTAAATTGTAATCAAATTAATATAAAAATACTCCCACTAATAAAAATAGCACCACCAAGGTAGGAGTATCCATTTTTGAATATACTAGATCATATTTTCAAATTTACACCTACTAACACATACAAAAATGAGCCTTAGGTATTTTTGTTAGACTCAATTTTCTTTAAATCTCTTGAACTATTCATATCTTAATAAGAATCATGAAATAAGATTACGAATTAGTTTCTTCAAATTATGTAGAGATAATGCTAACCGATGAAAATCCTATGAATATTCCTCTAGACCCAGCCTAATTATTGTTATCTGTAAATTCGCAGTTTATGAACTATATCTCTTTGCGATACATAATTTAAATTGTTGATTAGTAAGCCTTATTATTAGTAAATTTCACATTTCTTAGTATGATTGGATATGACTATAGGATAATAATAACTTTTCATTATTCTTACATCAGTTGAGCCAAAAATATTGATCGTAGATATTTCATTCTCTGCTTCATTCTCATGAAATACTGAGTCATTAATATTAAAACCAGATTTAGTAACAACTCTTATCGCTCCAACGTTATTGATTGCATAATTATTTCTGAACTCAGATTTAGCAATATTCATGCTTGATTCTGCATCTAATGATATACCAGCGCATTCGTATGCTAAATTATTATAAATTTTAATGTTAGTAATAACCGCCCAGGATTTTTGTAAATTCATCACTGCCGTATCATAGGCTGAGTTGTCTAAATGTTTATTAGTAAATAATCAATTTTACTGAAATAGGTTGAATTTTTATCTTTAAAAGAAAAAACTGAAAGCAACTAAATCATTGACCCATGATTCTTAGGATAAATAGATTTTTATTATTTACTTATTTTATTTAAATTTCAATATTTCAATAAAAATGTGTTCTGGGGTTTTGGGGTTTTGGGG